AGGGCAAGCAGTGGGCTGAGACTATCCGAGGTTGGGATGTTATCAATTGTTTTGCAAGATTTTAATTTCAGTTCGTTTCTTGATTCATTAAGCATTGATGTGATTCTGAAGCATTCAGTAAGCATCGATTCTGAAATTGTCCACTCCATTGAGGAGTTTTCAACGAGTTATTCGAGTCATTAAGAATTTTGGTTGCCAGATAAACTGATATAACGAGAGATTGTAAGATTATCGATGCAGGTGATCAATATTTGGTCGATCTGTCGAATACGAAAGGACATACGGGCTCGGTGAACGCGTGTTGCTGGCATCCATTGATCAAAAACGAATTTTTGACCTGTGCTGATGACGGGTATTCAGCTACTTCTGATTCCATAAATTTTATTTAAGAAAAAGTTCATTTCTTTTAGAGTTTGGGAATTTTATGTTGGAAAGATTGTTCAGCTCATTGAATTGAACAACTCAATGCAGTGTTAGTGTGCGTTCAGTTCGTTCATTAATAAATTGGTGAAATTTATTCCGATGTGAAACATGCCAGGCACTTTTGAATTGTTGGAAATCGGTCAAACAGCTGATCAGCTTTTTACATCTGCAATCATGAGATATCAGCCTTAACATTCTAATTAATATAATTTAGCAAAAGTATTGAGGTCATACGAGAATAGACTTTATGTGAGGAATCCACCAGCGAATTTAAGAGTGATCATTTTCATGCTAAAAGTATTCAACATGTTATTTTTATTCTCCATTTTACGTAACGAAATTTCATGTGTAAATATTTTGCGAGTTAAAATGGTATTGAAATATCGGTTCAATGACCGGAATTATTTGAGCACATTACGCATTTGGTCGTTGGACGATTTCAAAGAAATTACTCGATGTATCAATAAGCAGCAGAAAGTGATCAAAACGAAGAACGCGGGTGGCAAAAGGACAATCCCAATGACGTGTACGTATTCGAGAGATGGTAAATTAGTGGCAGCTGGCTGTCAGGATGGCTCAATTCAGATCTGGAAACATGGACATCTTTATGTGTGTATTTTCTTTTCTTTTTGAAATTCAGTCCTCTTTTTTCATTTGTGATGTCTGATTGATGTCATGTAGCAGAAAACAGCAGAAAATGATTGATTCTGAGATATTGTGGATGTGAGCAATAAGTCATTTGATACGAATTGAGTTTACTA